ACAGACACAGAATTAAAAAAATGGGACCCTGCTCCAAAGAGGTTATAAGCTAGGAGAAAATATTGTCTGGTGGACAACAGGGCCACAGTGCTGTCATCTGTGCACATCAGTACCAGGTTACATGGAAAGGGGGAGTCCTAAGAGAAAGAACATGTAAGGGACTGCCATGTCCCCTTTGTGGAAGGAAGAAAACCTTAATATTACTCTTTGTGAAGACAAACTATTGTAAATATGGCCTAGAGTTTTGTCTGAAGTGCTTGCAGCCCCATAAACCTGGTTTGAGTCCTTATCTATTTCTGTTATGTTGTCCTCCGATTAAATCACCTGATAGTTGGCGGTTGTATGTGGTAGCCATTTTGGCATGCGGACCTGATTGGTGTGATTGACGCAGCAAGGGAAGCTGGTCATGCCAGTTCATGGTATTGTAACTCATGTTTGAGGCAAACTCTTCTGTGTAAGTTTTAAAGACAGCTTTATGTGAAACTTAAACTCTGTTGTTCTGCTGGTCACATTTGAGGAGTTCCTCAAATGCTGTCTGTCCCATCTCCTATGGATGATTGCTTCTTCAGCTCAGCCATTTTGTGGCCCTCATTGGACTAGGGTTCTGGACATGACAAAAAAGCCTATAAAAAAGCAAAAGCATCTTCATGTATTTGTCTGGTCTGAAGAGTGCTCAGAGGAGTATTTGAGCTGACACAAGCAAAAGAGTGGTTAAAAAATATGGGAGTGTGGAAGTCGTAGAAAGAAGCAGGCAGTTCCCCTATGAGATAATGACAGTGTGCCAGGATCATGCAGTGGTAGGGCAGGAGACTTGTGAACAGATTCCAGCGCTGTTCTCTAAACAGTGTCTTCTCTTAACTGGAGCCATCTGTTGAATTACTAGCAGTGTTCAGATAGACTTTCCCAAGGCAATTCCCATCCTGGTGCCACTCCATTGGGACAGCCAATTTGTGACTCTCCCGCCCCCCCAGGAGAGGCTCCTTTTTGTCTCTTCTTTGGGGTGCCAGTAGGATGTTCTGTGGCACGCTTGCTTGCAGCCTCTTCACAGTATTTGAAGATAAAGCAGTTGTCCTGCTAGCTAGGACATGGTGCCATGGAGGTTTGCAATGTGGAGAGACAAGCTTCCCCTTCTCCAGTTTCATTTCTTTTCTTCTCGTGGGGACAACAGAAAGTGAGCAGTGGCAGTGCTGCAGGCGCTAAGGAGGAATGGCTACAGGGACAACAGCCCTGAGCAAGATAGTGCAGGACCTGGGGAGGACCATCAGCCTTATACAGTCATTTCTGGAGGGCTGCAGCAAGAGCACTTCTGATGCACGTTTCTGAAACTTTTGGGAAATCTGTGATCGAGGCAGTGAGGCCAAACCCTCCTCTTTGGGGGCAGCCCTCTTCTAGACCATCATTGTCTCTGAAGGAGGTATTTGCCAGGTCATATGTTTGGCAATATTCGCATAGACCCAGGGCCCTATTACCCAGAGAAGGGACAGAAACGCAGCCTGGGGTCATCTTCAGTGTGGTGATGTGTATGCTTGCACCACAGCCACCCGCCCCATTGCGTGTACATAATCCCATAGGTGTAGTGGTGGGGTCTGCCTGAGGAGGTGCTAGCATGGGAGCTGTGCATCTCTCCATTTACAGCAGAGCTGGAGGAGTGTGGTTTGTCCTTTGTTGTTCTGGGAAATTCACTTAATAAATTTAAATTCAGCTCACTGTTGCAGCCTAGAGAAAGAAAGGCTAACAGGTTTTTTTACTCTTTGGAGCTGGCTTTTGTACTGTGTGCTTAGAGCCATGTACTGTCCTTAACCTGTGTGGACCCTGGACCCTTGTTTGCAGTGTGAGTTTGTTTGTGGAAGAGTGTGTGAGCACAAGAGGGGTCTTAGTGTCAGAGTGAAGGCTTTTGGAGGAATAGCCATGTACAATTGCAAATTTGTTTGAAGACTTAAAAGTGTTTTCATACAGCTAATAAAAAATGCTGTTGATTTATCAACATCAACTTTTATCTTTGTGAAGACCTGAAGTCCACAGTAGAATTCTACAAACTGTATCACTAAATAGCTGCTGGCTTGCAAAGTTTATCTAGTAATGTATTTGTAAGTCTGCAGAGTAAAAACAAGGATTTTTAATTTTTTTTTCCTTAATTTTCTCTCAAACCTTTGCACCTGTGGCTTTTCTGGTAACTAGAGAGCAGTGGTAGTTAACACTAGGTGGCTGTCTAACAAGTGATTTCTTGAATTAAGGTTCCTAAAGCAAATCAGCTGTGACAGCACCACTTCATGTGCTTGTGCGTGTTACCTTTCTTCTGTAGCTGAAGGGAAAGTGAACTAGTGCTTAATTGCAGAAAATGACAGCAATATAATACATGAACAGTCATGGCTGCTGGGGGTGAAAGCACACCACAGCCCTGCTTCACAGAGGACAGAGGGAAACTAGACCCTTGGGTGGGCCTGGTTCTCCTTCACTGAGAAGACTGGATTAAAAGTAAAACCCAGATCTGAGACCCTTTCGAGTTGACTGTCCCTTATGAGGGCTTTACTGTGTCATAAATTCTGGTATGTTTCACATTTGTTTGCATTTCTTTTTGTTTGCAGGCCACAAACCAGTGCTGTGCCTTTCTTACTGGCACACTGGAGGCTGTTCTCAGAAATAGCTCCCTCAAAGAGCTGGCCTGCAGCACCCGCTCAAAGGCCACGCACAGTGGGTTTCTGATGCTCCTTGAGATCACTGCATTGTTCTTTCAGGCTGCTCGTGAGCTCAGGCCCTGTTGCATCTGCAGCTGTAGATTTGGTGCCTTCCCTAGGGGCTTACAGCTGGAGTGTAAGGAGAGGCAGTTGGTGCTTTGCCACCCAGCAGTTGAACTTTTGTCACTTCAGCATGAAGAATTGCTAGGACAAGGCTTGTTATGACACTGTTTTCTGAACTCATCAGCCAGTCTTAGCATCAAGTCTTTTACAGAGGTGATAGCTAAAGAAAGCCTAGGAACTTCTATTTCTTAAGTAAGGTTGAAAACAACCTCTTTTACCATAGCTTGTTAAGAGACTTTGAACAGCTTGGCCAGATGCAAACACCTATAAATACTCTGAACCCACTTCTCAGGTGCAGTGGAGTTCTGACTGCGTGATTTGGGATGCAGCAGGAGAGATGCATGATTTGGGACAGAGCAGGAGGCTGAGTCCCTTGAGATAGGACTTAGAACAGCCTCAGGGCTGCTTCTGGCTGGGCCAGCTGCAACTGTCCCCTGGGATCAGTGCTGCTGGGTTGCAGCAGAGCCATGTGCTGCTCCCATTTCCCTTTCTTCTTGCCTCTGGCATTTCTGATTCGGAGCTCACAGTTGTAGGGTAGAGTTGGCTTCACTGGTATCTGTCATCCTGGAATTTCCCTTTATGGCAGGAATCACAGCCTCCCAGCTGGCATCAGCTACTTACTCTGTCCCCGTACCCTTGATGTTCATGTTTTTAATGAACTGGCACCAACAGCACATCCTCCAGTCTGGGAATTCTGGTTCCACTTGGGAAGTAGCAGACCTTGTGATACTGATTTGAGGGTAGGTGAGCACAAGGGCACCATCTGTGTTTTAAACAGTAGGGTGTTTGGAGCAGTGTAGATTTGCTAAGCGTGATGGTAGCACCTTCTCATCTCTTTGAGAATAGTGGGTGGGACACGGGCTGGAGATCACATGGAGGAGGACAGACCTGTCAAGCCTCTAGCGTCCTCTGAGGTTTGCTTACTCACTCAGATGCAAAAGCCAGGTATCTCCTACATTTGCACTGAAGTGCCACAGCCTCCTTCCAGCTCCCTGAGCCCATGAGATGGGCACGACTGGTCAGTTCTTCTCTCTGAATCCCGACTGCCTCTGGTGAGGAGACAGACCAGTGGTGTTGGGGCTGCACCCAGGCTTTTGGCAGAATTTCAAATTCGAAAGAGCAGTTGGGCCTGGCACCAGGACCTCTTCCCCACCACCTTCCCTGGTGAAGGATCATGCACATGAGGCTAGACAGTGATTGAGAAATTAGAGGAGTGCAAGGCTGGGGAGGGTGGTGACTGGCTTTTGAGCTGTCTGTGGCTAATTTATCAGTGATAGATACTAGTTATCTCTAAAACATGGCATAGTAAACTGGGTATGAGTTGACATCTGAGCTAGATTAACTAATCAGTGAATCCTCTCATGCTTCCATTTCAAAGTTTTGTTTTAATAATTGTATCCTTAAACTTGTCTTCACTGAAGAGTCGACCTGAGCTGTCTACCAGGGTTTAGCTAATTTTCCTCATTGCTTCACCTCTGTCCACCTCCCTTTCTCCTTCCTGCTCCCACGGAAAAATCTTTGCCTTGTTTGGAAGCCCTCAGGCTGGGGGCATTTTCCCACATGAGTGTTGGCAAGCACAGAAGCAGACTGGGGGCAGGAAGGTGGGTGTAGGACTGCAGCCTACTCTGCCTAGGTTAGGCCAAGCAGACAGAAAATAGAAACACATAGTGTTGACCAACTGTAGAAGAGGTGGATCTTTGGGTACCTCCTGTTTGTTTAGCTATTTTCCAGAGTTTTACCACTGTAGGTTCATCATCCTTTACCAGGACAGCATGTGTGACAGTGTTGACTGGTGCCTGTGGAAGACAGGTAGATTTGATATGGCATATGTGGAAAGAGGATTTGCTTTTGAGTAGGGAGTTTGAAATCCCAGGAATTTCCATGCCAAATTTTGTACTTTTTTTTTTACCCTTGTATCTTTTGAGACCATGAAGAGGAGGGTAAAGAAGCACAATGTGGACTTTAAAAAAAAAAAAAAAATTTAAATAAGTTTGAATGAAAATTCCAAAGTGTCTTAATGATTTATGGACATCAATCTTGTTTGGAGATTGCTGGGACTTGTGTACTCAGGGCATAAGTAAGTGTTTGCCAGTCTGCCCATCTGTCATCTTTTCAACTCCTGACTTATCACTGTATGAGAATTCAGTCCCTTGGTTAACTTCTACCTTGTTTGTTTTTTTTTTATCCCCTCTTCAGACAAGTGAGAGAGAGACTAAAGAAGCAAGTTGTTGAGATGAAAGAGAAATTTCCAGGCTTCAGACCAGGACTCGCAATTTTGCAGGTATTGTTTTCTTTAATGACAGCTACAGAAAATCTATGTTGCTTTGCAATGGTAAGTGCACAGCTGATGAGCTTCATCAAAGCTGCCTTGCAATGGTAATGTTTTATAAGGAACAGAAGAGCAGAGTTCCCTGTGGGATGGTAACACAGTTCTGTGATGTCTTTTCCCCAAGTACCGGGGCCCAGAAACATTTTGGGGGTTTTGGGTTGTTTCTTTTCTTCTTTCACCAGACCCTTGCAGTTCTCTGTTTGAGCATTATGTTTGTGAAATGGTGAAAGTAGGCTTCTGGCCTATTAAGAGGAAGCAGTGCTTGTAGACTCTATTCCAAGTCTCTGCATTTGTGTGAGTCCCAAAGCCTGTCAGCTTTTGAGATGTGTTTGTACCAGAAATCTTTGAAATGGGGTGTTTATTAAGGGATTTCGTCTGCTGTTACATCAGAACATGGAGAGAGGCGGGGGGCAGGGGGGGAACCCAACCAAAAACACCTTTGGCCAAGAAGACTTTGAGTGCAGGGGATGGAACAAAATCCCATTGCTGAATTTGATGTCTGTCAGAAGTGTGAGTAAGTGCTAGAGTCTACACAAAAACACTTGCGGAGGAAAAAAGCACTCATCAGTACAGGGTTTTAGCCTGTGTTTGGCAAAATTAAGGTGATTTTTTTTTTCCTTGCAGCTATAAAAAATGCAAACTCTTTGTGCTTAGATCAGGTGACTAGCAGTAGCAAGTGTCATGTAACAGGAAGGAACTGTGTGTCCACAAAGGACTGATGGAATGCAAGTGGCTGCTTAGAGAAGTGGCTTCTGTCCTTATTCAATATTTTGGGTCCCTGAAGTGTTCTTGGTGCCTGTCTCTGGATTCCATTGCTAAGACCACTATAGTACACAAAGACCATGCTCCTCTTCAATGCCAGGAACAAATTTGTTTGTGGTTTGTTTGGGTTTTTTTTTTTTCTGGTTTTCTTTTCTATTGGCTTTAAGAAGATCCTCTCTACAGAAGACTCGTCTTCAGGTGTTTAGAAGGGAGGAGGAAGGTCTTTTATTTAAAATTTACTAAGGATGCTTTGATGGAAGTTGCCGAACTGCTGGCCATGTAAACTGTCTTAAAAATTGCTGTCTTGTAGTGTTATTGGATTTTTTTCTCGGTTGGCCTGTGTTCTCTTCAATCCTGGGTTGTCTCAGAGTCCTTTACAACCTGTTTGCTTTTTGGCTCTTTGACACTTTTGTAAGCTACCAAACAGTCTGGACTTGGAGTTCATCTCCTAATGCTGATATTCTCAGCTGCCTATTTTTCAGTTAAGTCAGGACGATTAGCTGTTTCTGATATGTAGCACTCCACACAATATGTGCTCTTTTCTTGGGAGGTATCTGGTGTCCTCTGAGCTCAAACAATAAGTCAGTTAATCTTTATTTTTTGTCCTGTAGTCAGGAATGTCCTCTTTTGCACAATATACATGGTTTGTTTGCTGACATCTCCTGATGACCGCTCTCTTCCTTCTTTTCTGCTCTGTATGAGGCATACCTTTTCCTAAATCCAGCAGATTTTAAAGGGGAGAGCCCCTTTGTCTAACCCTAAGGAAGAAGAACCAGTGTATGCTGGGTGATCAGGTAATGCAGTCACCCCTGCAGCTTGTAATCTGTGTGAGAACCAGGTATAGCTACCAGGGAACGGAGTTTCAAGAATTTGCTTACCAGCTTTTCTTTATTTGCCCCTCATTTTCTTATGATTACAAGGAGCATTACCTTTAACAAAACATACTGGATGTTGCAAGCAGTCTTCTGAAATGCAGTTGTGCTGTAATCACCCGATACTGCCAAAAACTACAGGCATTTGTTCCACTTGCTGCTTTCTCTTTGTGCGTCACTTTGTTCTTGTTCTGTTGGTTTTTCTTTGGCAGGAAAATTCTCAAGGTACAAAACAGCAGTGGAAGAAATCTCTCCATCAAGGCACATGTATGTGCATAAAATTAAGATTCCTGGGTATCAAAGCCCAACTTTTCTGAAAGCCTTAATCAGATAATTGGATGTTATCAGCACCTGCTGATCATGTTAATTAGCTAGCGATTTAACTTTCTCAGATGAGATGGCAGGCAGTATTTTCTGCTGTGGAGAACAATGTGTTTCTAAGGTTTTTCAACAGGTGTAAATAGTGTTTATGCAGGAGATCAGACAACTTGTCTTTAGCTGCCTCTTACTTGAAAGAACACTTTCCTACTAGCTCCAGCTACTTATAGCCTCTATCAATGTGTTTTACAGTTATTCAAGAATACCTCTGTCTCCTTGGTGTAGCTCAAAGGAAGCCAAGGGTTAAGCCCATCTCAGCCTGTGAACGGGTCTCTATTCTGCAACGTGACTCAACTGTCTTTTCATCCTTAGGTTGGAAATAGGGATGATTCGAACCTCTACATTAATATGAAGCTGAAGGCTGCTGCTGAGGTAATGCCCAAACTCTTAGTATTTCTTTTTACCCTCCTATAGTAGGTCAAATCTGAATATGAAAAAAAAGATGCAAATCAAATAGTTTTATCTAAGCCTTGCCTGTATTGGAGAAACCAGTGTTGGCCTGAATTCTTTGTTATAAGGAAGGTAACCTGACATGTAGCCAAGTGGGGTAACAACAGTGTGGGTTGGTGCCACTTTTTGTGTGATCATCTCCTAGATTACACGTGTCTGAAGTGCTGATGCTCTGTCTTTCCTGACCTGTGGCCATGTGCTTACCTTCCCTGAATGCCTTGTACCTGCAGTTGCCTTGCATCTCTCACCAAGTGGTACATTACACGCTACAGCAGGGCTGGGAATGTAGATGAGTCCCTGTTTCCCTAGGTGATAGCTGGCATCTTCTCTGCTGGCATTTCAAGGCAGTATGCTGTCAAGCCAAGATCTTGTTGTTCATGTCAAAAGGTGAATAGGACAGTTAAAGTACGGACCAATCTAAGTAGGCAAAGCGCTAATCTTTTTTCTTGTCTTCTGTTGATGATATTTCCAAATAATAAGACTGTAGCCACAGGAACAGGAGATAGACCTGGGAAATGTGACAGAATGTAGCTGTGACTGGGCTGGACTGAGAATAGCCAGATCAATCTCTGATGTCAATTCAGAAATCAGATAATTTGTTGGTATTCTCATTTGCAGATTGGGATCAGTGCCAATCACATAAAACTGCCAAACACAGCAACAGAAGCTGATGTAAGTAATATAGCCAATAATGAAAAATACATAATTTTGGTCTTGAGCTCAAGAGGTGAACTTATATTTGCCCTCTCATTTTATAAAAGAAGACTGCTTGCCCATAGATATTAACTCATGAAAAAAGAAATGGAACCTGCTGAGATTTTATTTTTAAAAGAAAACTAAAGCATTACAAAGTAAAATTTAGAGACTTTAACAGGTATTTTTCTAAAAATAAAAAATGTGAGTCATTTATACTCTTGGGTAGAAAAACTAAACATATTGTATGTGTCTTTTAATCCAGACAGGATTGTGCTTTTTCCTTTGCATCAGTCATATTTCAGTTTATCAGCCATTAGGTTTTTGATCTTTACTTCTTGTAGGTCCTCAAGTGCATTGCCTCTTTGAATGGAGACCCTGCTGTTCATGGCTTTATAGTGCAGCTGCCACTTGACTCTGATAAACCCATCAGTACAGAAAAAATAACCAATGCTGTTGCACCTGAGAAGGATGTAGATGGGTAAACTGCTTCACCCCTGGAGAGCATGACAGCTACTCCAGAAAGAAACCTCTTTTTTTTTTTTTTTCTTTTCTTTTCTTTTGAATGGTGATCATGAGGCTGGGAATCTTACTTGGCCTTTATTCTTTCAAAATACAGCTTAAGTAGCATCAATGCTGGGAAACTCTCTAGAGGGGACCTTGGAGACTGCTTTATTCCCTGTACGCCAAAAGGATGCATGGAACTTATCAGGCAGACAGGTAAGGATGTTTCCATCCATTATTCATGAATGCGGTAGTCTTCAATAAGAGGAGAAATTGTGCACCTCGCAAGGCTATGCTTCGCATTGAAACTTTTGTTAAGATGCCACATTTCATCTCTGCCTTTTCAGATAGGAAAAGAGCTAGTTTTAAAGTGGTCCGTCCTTCCTCCCTTCCAATTCCCTAGCACACACAACCCAGAAGAAAAATAATATCTTGAAGTAGCAGAGCCAGACTTAAACTGACCAAAAGACTCCAGAGCTGTTTGAGTTAGTTTGTACTAGAATGCACAATGACCTATTTTTACTTTCTCCTAACTTTCTGTGGTGCAGGCATCCAGGTTGCAGGGAAAAGAGCTGTAGTGGTTGGTCGCAGTAAGATCGTTGGTGCTCCCATGCATGACCTGCTGCTGTGGAATCACGCAACAGTAACCACTTGCCATTCAAAGACCTCAACGCTGGCTGAGGAGGTAATGACAGGATGGATGCGTGAGGCTGTAATTATCTGCTGCAAGCCAGTGCTGCTGCTGCATATTGCTACTCAGTGTATTGCTACCCTAAGTCATTGGGTCTGGGTTGTCTTTCATCTGAAACGGTTTCCCAGTCCTGTTCATTGGATGGTTGTGTAAATACTTCTGCTGGAATAGGATCCTGATTATTTTTGGCCCTTAATTAGAGGCTTTTAATTATAACAATAAAATTATTATTTTTGTTTTCTTTGGGCAAGTGCCGAGAATTTAATCATCCCTTCCTAATCTCCAAGTAGTGGCCTGCAAGACAGCATATGTTTTTGTTTTTTCCCGAAAAGGCCAGGTGGTCTTTTGCTTTAATGGCTGGGAAATGCTAGACCAAATGTTTTCTCCAGGGTTTTTTTTTCCAGTCTATTTTCTATGGCTGGGAGTTGGTACCATTTTCCTCTTTAGCAGTGAGAGTGACAGAAATAGTGTGTTGCTGTGCTGCCACCTACTTGGATTTCGTAGAGCAATCAACACTGCCAGGCTCTGTAGGCAAGTATTAAAGCTGAAAAGAGGGTAGGTGTATTTGAATATAACTCACAAGGAAGATCAGAAACACTGCAGTGCTTCACGCCATTAAGTTGCTGTTCAGTAAGACTGTCATTAGGTTGATTAACAGTTGAAGTGCTAATTCTTAACGAAATCTTAAAAATAGTTAATCGCCCTTGAAGATTAAAAGAAAAAATTCCAAGGGATAGCAGCTTCCTAAGCAAACATGAATGAAGCAGTGCAAGAACTGACAACGAGCTTCAGTCAGAGTCTCTAGCACCAGCTTTGTGACCAGATCTGTGAAATTTACTGAGTACTGTCTGAAGGAATATTAGTGCTGAATTACAATCAGCTTTCCCTGGAGTTGCATGTTACACAGTCCTGGACTTAAAAACCACAAGGCAATGCTGCCACAAGCGCTGCTTAGAGTTCTGTGCAGGGGTTGTTTCTGGCTGCTGTCTGATGAGTGCTGAGTATATTCGTAGCATTGAAAAGAACAGCTGAATATGCAGGGATATTTGAAGGGAGTGAGATAAGAATATGCAGAAGGCTTTAATTTTATCTAAAAGTAGTCTGTGTGATCCACTTGGGAATCATGGAGGAGTTCAAAGGAGGTTGTGAAGTGTTGACTAGCAATAGTTCAGGGTAGGAGTGTGAAAATAGGCCATAATTTCTGGCTGCAGGAATTTGTGCTTGCCAAGGAACTGCTAGCTACCTTTAATTGTTGATGATGCCCTTCTACCCCTCCAATGGCAATGAGTGAGCACACAGTTTTACTGCAACTGAAGCTGATCTAAGTTGCTGCTGAAGCAGCCCTGCATTTTTCCACTGCCGGTGTGACAGAGTTGTTTGTTTTTTTTTTTCATAGGTTGGTAAAGCTGATATCCTGGTGGTTGCAGCTGGTAAAGCTGAAATGGTAAAAGGTGAATGGATCAAACCTGGTGCAATTGTAATAGACTGTGGAATTAACCATGTGCCAGGTGCGTGGGTAAGGTATAAAGAGTGGGGATGTGTTTATTTGTATATAAATGCAGTTACTAAGTAAGTACATGGATACTGTTTCCTTGGTGTTTCTAGTCAATGCAGACTTATTTCTCTTTTAAGCCTGTCTTAGGTAATGATAGCAACCTCTGAAGATGCCAGAATACAAAAAGGTTGGTTTGAAGTACTGCCCTAAAGCAGATCAGTGGCAGTTCTGTTTCTGTCTTCAATGAGGCTGATGATCAGTAGAGGAAAGAGGAGGCCTAGGAAATACTACAGCAGAATATCCATGTAATTTGCTGCAACTACATAGTGAAGTCTTGCTGCTGTTGTCACTTGTGAGTGTGCAGCTTTGCTGTCATTACTTTGCAGTTAGATCTGATTAAGCTGTTCTGTTTGAAATACATAAATGGCAAGCAGTCTCTTAAAGTAGCTGTGGATTTGTTGAATCACAACATTAACTTCTTAGGCTTGAATGGCTGTTGCCTTGAGACAAAGCAGCTTCTGCAAGAGTATTGGTGACAGTGGCTCTGGCATAGAATAAAGTGCTTGAACATAATGGATTTTAGGGTAGGGTTTCACTTAGCTACTGCTTCCTTACAAAGGAGGAACAGACAGTCTGGCAATTTCTGTTTTCATCTTATTTTAAATCCAAATTACAGATATTGAATGATATGGAAAATTAGTCACCATCCAACTATCTCTGTGCTACACCCACAAGGCTTTTAAAAGGTAGTTTTCATAATTAATCAGTCGTTTTGTTGCCATTATTTAATGGAATGTAAAGAAATTTCTGTTCAGCAGTCTTGTTCCTCAAAGATGACACTGGGTTGCATTTAAAAACATTAGTCCTCTGTCTAATTAAAATTAAAAAGTCATCTGCTGTTGCTGTTTGTTGCTTGATGTATTTGTGCCAAGTTACCCAAACTGAGGCAATTTGCCAAAACCCACAGGGTCGCTGCTGATTTGCATGAAGCAGAATGGCTTGGAGTCTCCCCCACTAACATGTTGCAAATAAAACTACCATTGTGTTTCTGACATATGATGGTATGACCTTTTTTCAGGCTTGATGTGAACTGCATCTCTGAGGGGACATCCCTGTTTCTTTGCAATTAGTCTGCCTTGGGCAGTGCACTGGGATCTGAGCTTCTTGTACACCCAGCCTAGCCAGCATTGCATGGCAATATGCTTAGTGGCGTTGTGAGACTCAGTAATCGGGGCTTGATTAGAGTACCGTGGAAATCGTCAGATTTCAAAATGATGGATGCCACAGACTTCTGTGGTTTTCTGAAGCTGTTGAGTTTTCCTGCCTCTTTCTTCCCTTCTGATTGGTTGCGAAAAAGCTTTCAGATGAATCTTTTGGGAAATCAGTGCCAGAATTGTGGGAATTGCAATGCTACAGAAAGAACAGCAGCTAGTTTGCCAGCTTCTCTAGCTACATCACTGTACAGATAGAATATTGCTGCTAGCTGTGATGGTGCTTTGAACGTGGCAGGGAGAGAAATATCACAGTTGCCATACATCTTACCATAGCTGTTAGTGTAGCCAGCTAGGTGCCCCCTAGGTGTACATGTGAGTTGCAGCTGGAGGACGTGGCAATCTCTGGATATGCCTATACTTTGCAACTCGGGGTGTCCTGTACAGGCAAATCCCAATACGATTTGACATACCAGGGCATTAACTTCATGCAGGCTTGCCAAGTTGGAGTTAAAAAAAGTTATAGCCATGTAGCACCATGCAAATGCAGCTGTTGTGCTTTCGAATGGAGGGTGGCCTGTATACTCCCAAGGCTGCCAGTTTGGAGGCTAGAATGGGCAGTTTAGGCACATCTGGCTTTGCGTTCATGTTTACTACAGCTGAACAGAATTTCTTCCAGGTCTCCAGGTAGAGAGAGAGGAAGAGAGGATCTCCTGAAACCTCTATTAGAGCGGACAAGTGTGTCTTATTCCCTTTCCAAACTGGATTGTATTTGTCTTTCTCTCCCCACTGCTGCAGTTGGAGGGCTACTCCAGCAAAAATTCTAAATGCTTTAGTCCAGGTCTGTAGAAATTGCTCTGCTACAGGAAGGGAGAGCAGTGCAGGTAGAGGATATTCCCAGAGATAGCATAGTCTCTGGAGTGTCCCTTTCTGAGTCCTGGTGGAGGAAGCAACCCTGTTCAAAGTCCTTCTCTGCTATGGGATTTTGCAGCCCTAGCCAACAGGGAACCTTGAACAGTGGGATATGAGAGCAGCAAAGGAGGATCAGCCTCTGAGGATCTCGGTGCCATGCTCTTCAAACACCAGAGGAGCTAGAAAGATATAGAAAGCCTTGACTTGGCGCTCTGTTTATATCTTCATGTACTGGGAATCAAGCTGGCATCACAGGCCTATAAAATCAGATTGTGTTGGATCCCTCATGAAACACCTTTCCTAGTGGTGTCCAGAAAAAGCAGTAGACTGCAAGCAGCTGGTCTCATGTTTTATAGATGAGGGTCATGTATGGTCTTGTGTGTTTGCAGTCATATATCTACCAGAAACGTGTTACAGTTGCATGTACATTGGCACAAGTTTGCTTGGAAGTCATGTGGATATTCCCAGCCCTTGTCTGGCGGAAGTAGGACTGTGAATTAGCTCCGATCCAGAAGCTGCACTCAGGCTCTCTCTCATGCAGCTGTCTCTGGAGATAGATGGAGATCATCATACCTGTTCATTCCATATGTGTAGCATGTCCTTCATTTCTTTGATCTCAAAGTCCTTGGATGCTCGCTCTCATGCGTTCCAGCTGGCTAGAGAACCTACTGGACCAAAGAAGACACAGGCACTGGGAATGGTTATAGTGTCACTGATACTCTCTGTAACTAGTTTGGTTTTTTTAAGAGTGGGATGATGAATATTGAGAAGGTGAAATTATGGGGAGAGCCGGAAAGCGTTGTACGTGAGCTTTCCTTCAAAAGAATATTTTAAAGGTAATTGAATAGCTCCTAAGTTGTGCTCTGCAGTGCTTGGCGTGAGGTGCGGGATGCAGAGGCAGGGACTGGAGGTTTGTTTGGCTTGTGCTCATCACTGCGTCTGTGTAACATGTTTGTGTGTGGAGTGCCTAATTCATCGCTTGTTTTCATTCTTGGGCCTGGAGTCTTCCTGGCCGGGGTGGCTGGTAAGCCTGCTTGGTATCCTTGGAAGAAAATATGATTATGTTATTTGCCTTTTGCAACCTTAATTAAACTGATCTCTAGACTGGAAGGACAGATTGGTCTGCAGTTCAGGCAGCAAAGCTGACAGTGGCTGCTGTGATGTTGTTCAAGCTTTGAGCTTTAGGGAGAAGAAGTGTTGCTTAAAACACAAACACAGCAAAACATCCAAGCTGCTAATTGTCAGTAACAATGCAGCTGAAAATTAGTGTTGGCAGGAGCTGCTTTTGCTCCCTCTTTAGTTTTAACATAATCAGCTGTTTCGGAGTTTGGTTTCTCTTCCTCTCCTCCCCCTCACCAAATGTATGTTAAAGTTATTGATTGTGTTCTGATCAAACATACACTTACTGTATCCAATATAATATTTCAATGTAACAACGTTAAAATCTATCTTCAGGTTTTTCACACTGCTTAAGTTCCCTAGAGTCCTCATATCTGAAATGAGGATCTGCCACTCTAGGAGAAACTTAAATTTTCTTTTTTTGATATGCTGTGTCTATAATCAGCGAGTTCCTTAGATGATTGTGCTAGTTTTACTAATGCATTTTGTCTTTTTCTCTCCTTATGTGTGAGCTTAAAGGTCACCACTGGAAAAAAGTGCTATATCTGTTTCTGAATTGTCAGGTCATGTAGTGCAGCAGGATATAGCAATTTCTTTTGCCAGGGAGAAAGGAGATTATTCTACTGGAGCTCTCTTAAGCCACCTATGAGGTTTGTTTTGACAAGACTCTGATCTCTGTGAACTGCAGTATTTACAGGTCCATCATTAGAACGGCAACGAGTAATTGAAAAGCTCAGCACTTTCTGTCTTCATTTTCTGTAAATGCAGGTGATTTTATTCGATAGTAAGGCCTAGATGTCCTCCAAAATGGAACAGAGCAAATGTAAACCTGGGTTTTTGGAACAAGTCAGCCATGTTTCTTCTCTCGCTTCTTCTAGACCATTGATATTTATCTCCTTCAAATTGGAAACTGTACTAATCCTTCAGAGCAATACAGCAGGAGCTGTGAGAGGATGTTTCAGGTGACATCTCTATTGTATGTCCCATTTGTGTTTTATTATTGCACAGATGTAAGACTTGGTCTGTGTTTTGGTCCCCCTGCATTTGTTTTGGAGTCATCTTCAGACTGCCCTGTGGGCCACGTGCCATGAGAAAATACTTGCATGCTCAAGGAAAGGGGGAATCTATCTGGCTGAGGATAAATGGCGCTTAATGGGAAGATATGTTGCATGAGCTGTTGACGCTCTGAGTGAAACATGATGATAACAGCTTCATCTTGTGATGTTGTTTTTAACTTTTTATCTTCCTTTACAGCTTCCTGGGTACTCAGCTTCTGTTTTGTTTACTCCAACAGAGGAAAAGACTTCAATTTAGTCAGTGCTGCCTCCTCTGTTTTGGTGAAATGTGATGTGTAACTTACTTTTTCCTTAAATCCCCAGACAGCACAAAGGCCAGTGGAAAAAGAGTTGTAGGAGATGTGGCGTACAGTACAGCAAAGGAAAAAGCTTCCTACATCACCCCAGTTCCTGGTGGCGTTGGGCCTATGACTGTGGCCATGTTAATGCAGGTATGTGGGCAGACTGTGAGACTGGTGGTCATCTCCTCTACCTTTGCCTTTGGGGTATGTTGCTGCTGACCATCATCACGCTACCAAGGCTGGTGCTTCCTTCTTGCTCTTACAGAGGTCTAGTTGGATTTCCAACTTCTAGCCCAAACAGTTTGGATTCAGTTAACTGAGGAAGAAGGTGGACCTTAAGGAAATGTTAGGACAGAGTTCTAAAACTATCTGTAGGGTGATTGGATAAAAAGGAGGAGTGTAACAGTATAAGCCAGCTCCCTTTGTTTCCTGCTTTGCTTAATAAACCCCGCTGACACAGAACACCCCAAAAGATCCAGCACACTGGAAGATAGATAGGTAGATGGATAGATAGATATGGTGGGGTTTTTTTCTTTTTAAGAAAACTATGAGCAGAGTATCATTTTGGATTGTTAGCAAATGCTTTAATCAAAGCACTTTGTGTTAATCCCAAACTGAGACAGATGGGAGGGGAAAACCTTTGAGTCTCTTTGTTAACCAGCATGGTTCATACAGTGGTGGTTGCTATAATGCATTCTCATGCTCATTTTAGAGCACAGTGGAGAGTGCGCAGCGTTTTCTGGAGAAGTTCCAGCCTGGAAAATGGAACATCCAATATAACCAGCTTACCCTAAAGGTGCCTGTTCCAAGGTAATGCTTTCAGATGAAGCCACTGGCAGTATTCATGCAGTATAGCATTCACTTCTGTTCCCAAGCTTTGTGTAATATGGGGCATACATGTATGTAGACTGTAGCTGGCATTGAAGTTTGGAGAGAAGTAGAGAGAAAGCACTGTGAGGCCTTCCTAAGGGAGCAGAGCTAACCTGCAGTGGTGCTGTGACATATGTTGAAGTGTAGGCTTGGGTCATCCTGATAGTACTAAGGCATAAACATGGACTTCCACAGACTCTTTAGGACAACTAGATAGTTGTTGATTCAGCAAATAGCGAGACACTTGTATTTTGGAAAATTTTCAGTCTGACATGGCAAAAACCTAGCATCTTGAAGTAGGAGTTGTTGGTGTCAAGTCCCCAAGGAGCAGTTGAAAATATACAAAATACCATAAGGGAGCATAACACGCTGCCTACAAAAAGGCATTCTTGGGGTAGGAGGAGTCGGGGGCGGGG